GTGACCAGCAGGCGCGGCTTCCCACATAAGGTGGTATCGCGTGGCGCCTTCGGGCCAAGGTACCGCCTCGGCCACTCCTTCGGCCCCCATCTACATTCACGGTCCCTAAGCGTCTGCGCCGGCCTGCCAGCCTGTGCCCGGGCCATCCCATACGCCTACCGGCGCGCCAACCCTACCGCTGGGCCGTGCGCACCGATCAAAAACAAACTTTTGTTCCCTAACCAAGGCCGTAACATGATCCGGGCCGATCGACTAGACCGGCCGCCCACTTCAGCCTCAAAAAATCACACGCGCGCACCGAAAAAATCACACGCGCGCCTCAAAATTGCGCGCCCATATACTCCCTACCGGGACAAGGCAGACCTTTGCCCGCGCGCGGACGACCCTCACATTTTCCCGCACGGGCACCCAAAATCCAGGTTAACCAAGCCTTTCTGTCACTTGCAAAAGCCAGGGCGGATACCCTTGTAAGGGTATTCGCCGACACCGGTTCCTTTGGATAACGACGGTGCAGGCTTCGCCCATCGGCAATCGCATCAACTATTAAAGGGCCTCTGAAGGCGCGAGCTAGTAGCTAGCTTGATCAGCCTCTCGCTCTTCTGCTCAAGTCTGACTAACAATCCCTCGTCAGTACCGCGCCTCTACCGAACCCCCTCTTGGCGGGCCACAAAGTCCAAGGCGTGGTTCTGATTGTGCGCTTGAGCGTGGCTTTAGGTGGACACGGCCCAATGCCAAACCCTCACTCAAACCTCTCACAACAGGTCGCGATTGGCGGACGGTGCACCCGCAACAACTCCCGCCTCATAGGTTCCCGTCGCTTCGTGGGCAACCCACCCACTAGCTTGCGTGCACGTTGACTTCCTAGGCCCGCATCTTAAGATGGGCTAGATGGAGGAATTTTTGCCAACACCCTGCCACGCCGGAACCCATAAGTCAACGAAAAAAAGATGCGTGCTCAAGGCCCTCGACCGTCGCGACGACCCCCAAATCCAGAGTTGCGTCCAAGTCAATGGATGCCAGAGCAAAAATTTTTAATAATACTCAACAACAGATAATAAAAATATTTAGAAACTTCTTAATCGTCAGAATATGACGAATGAGGAAAGAGAAACTGCTAGTACCGCTCTGATGCCCCTAACGGCAAAACCAGGGGGAATTGCCCCATCGGGCCCTCAACCCCTCGGTCTTTTCGCGCCGTTCCAGTATTCCTACACCGACACCGTCGGCCTCTATCCCCGAATCCCCCTGTTAAAAGTCTGGCACTATAACCAATAGCGCTAGGCCCAAGGTTGGGTCTGGCTTCGACCGACACCTAAATAAGCTAATACTGCGCGATGCGCAGATCTACCGAAACATTTTCAAAGTCGCATTGTTGTTGACGCCGTCCTCCGCACGTACATACAGGTCATAGATAAATACACCAATTAGGAGACAAAATCTTTTTAAATCCTAGTTTAATCAGAAATTAAAACTTAGTCAGCAACCAAACGCCGACTTCACGATCATCAAAAGAAAGAGAGATCACATGTGCGCCTTAAGTCCGCGCGCACCCATACCCCCTACTCTAGTCAACCATTTAGCCGACGTAAATCACAGCCGCGACTCGTGCGGTACTCTTAAACCTCAAACCAAACTTTTTCTCTGTCGTTTGCAAAAACCAGGGCGTATAGCCTTGTAAGGGTATCCACACCGACAACGTGACATTGGGCTACCTGACTACTTGTACGATTTTTGGAGACGTATTTGTGCTGAGACATACTGCATCTTGACATTGATGAGCGTCTCTCCGGACTGGGCTCATTGCACTACTGCCGAGGAATAAGCCCGGGCTGCTATTCCATTAGGAATTCAGTCAGTCGAAGTGAGGATCAAAGGTTTAGCTCAAGGAAAACCTTCCGCGTTAATGTGGTTTACAATTAGCAGGTCTCGTTATAACCATGATTAGCAATGTTACTCCAACAGCACATCATGGATGTCATCCTCCTAAGAAATACTATGTATAAATAATTGTCATCGCTTCTGATGGTACGATCGGATTGGCAAAGGCATAAACGAAGGAAGTGTTGATTGACCTCTGAACTAGGGCATGAAGGGCCCCTGCTATATTCAAAACAATGCATTGGGTGGATGCCTCGACGTTGAGGATGAAAGGACATAATGGAAGGCGAAATGCCGTAGGGGGAAGCTCTTTTTGATTCCATGGATTTCCTATCGGGAAATCGCGCCAGAGTTGATTTGCGAACTTAACATCTAAGTAGTGGAGGGAAAGCACACCAACTTAGGCTCCGTTAGTAGCGTTGAGCAGTTTTTTTATTGTTTGGTGTTCTTAGCCTGCCCACCTCAGGGTATCAATTGTCGGGCAGTCGTTGATGCTTAATGCAATCAAACTCGCTTTCACTTCCACTTCACATACATGCAAACCCACTCAAAGCTTAGAGATATGGAAATCAAGAACGCCGTTCAGATGCAAGTTCACTTCAACAGGCTATGGCGCATCGGCGCCTGAACATCCCAGCCTTCGTCGCTGTGTCCAACCCCACTGTTCACACACGTGCACTCTGGATCACCCTGAATACCACCACACACACACACTTATCTCACTTCCTCCTACAGCGGCTATGGCCGCACTACCACTACTGACTATGGCTACGATCTCCCTTCAGCCCACTTCGTCTTTGGGCAACCTGCAGACCACCTTCGCACAAGACGCTGTAGCAGCGCTTCCGCATGGCTTACGCGGCGAATGAATGCACGACTGGTCGCTGCCTCTTACTTTATACTTCTGTAGCTTGTTGGTCTGCCCATTTCCCATGCCCTGGGTGCACACAGTCCCACACGGTACTTGCTTAACTGGACCCTGACTGACTGGGACTGATACCACTGACTGCATGGGGACGCATTGTCAACTCACCGCCGTAGCACTGCCGACGTACTGCAGTTGACCTCGCCACTTGCCCACTTGCCTCTGTCTAAACGTGAGCAAGCTCCGAAAGGCCACTTCCGGGCCTTCCGGAAGTCCGTAGACTTGGCCTTTCGGTACCGTAGCAGCTACGACCTTGACCTTTCAGGAATACAGCAGCTATGACTTTGACCCTTCGGAAGAGCTACAGTTACGACTCCTAGGACCTGCTAAGACCTACAAACGACAGGTCTACAGATCGAACCCCTACAACCTACAGACCTACGACAGCCTACCAACTACTGCGAATCCACAAGTCAGGGGTTCAACTCTCAGGGTCGACTCAGATACTGTACACAGGTGAAGTGAGGACTAGGGATCGAGCCCTGGGATCTGCATCAGCTACTGCGAAAGGTGGAATCCGTTTCATTAACCACAACCGGGGTTAAGGTGGATTATCACTTACAGTGTAATCAGTTAGGGGATTCTGCAGACTGTTGAGGGTTCAGCCTCCTGATGAGTCGGCGAAACTCCGACGAAACAGTTTGTCACGGCCCCTTGTTTGTTGTCCTCTTCGCCCTCTCTGCCTACGGTTTACCGGGCAGCTCTGTTTGACGATGTATACATTTCTTGTTAATTCAGGATGGAGCCCTCAACCAGACTTTCACCCAGCTCCACCCAACTAGCAAAGGAAAAGCAATCACTGAGTTGATATGTGTAGAGTGTGCTTGCTGTGTTGACATTGTAACATTTCTCGTGATACTGTCTCCACGTCGCAGCTCGTTCTGCCAAACTCCTGCAGTAGTAGAGAGAATCATGGAGTTAATTTGTAAATCGTGCAGCGTTTGTTTCTTTATGTTTCTTCATGTTTCTTCATGCTTCTTTATTTGTTCGAGTGTGTGTGCACGTGTAGTTGTGTTTGTTCATGTGTGTGTGGGAATGACTAGTAGTTATGTATCTGTATTTGTGTCAGCATGTGTGTGCACATTTAGCTGTGTTTGTGTTTGCGCGTGCTTGTTGCATGAAATTGCCATGAATAGTACTTGTGTACATATCTGTATTTATGCCAGTATATTTCAGTACTGTGCTTAATCATGATTATAAAATAACGTGTGTGTGAGGATGTCACTGTCTGATAATATCGCTGTGTCAGTGATGTTTTTCTGTCAATACTTGTGCTTGTGTGTATCCTTTCACAATGACGCATGTCCACACAAACAATACTGTGTATGTGTGTATTTACGTCAGTACGTGTCAGTAAGTCTTGCTAATTTATGCTTGTATGATGGTGTATGCGTGAAGATGCCGTTGTTTGTTTGCTGGACGGATAACATTGCTGCACTTATGACCTTCATCAGTGGTCGTTGGTCAGTCTGTGGTTCCACTGTAAAGTCTTTTTAACGCCGCGATGGTGACTGTATATATTCATATATGTGCATGTACAAGGCTGTTTGTGTGTGTGTGTGTGTCCACATGGACATATGCCACACTTCTGGTATGTGGATGAATTATGTTTCGGCAACTGATTTGTAATGGTTGCTCATGTGTGTTAATTACACTTGCAATAAAATAAAGTTTATGCAGGAGGGGTGTGTATTTGCAGATCGTCGATGCTTGCATGGATAGTGGACGAAAGGGAGGATGGATGGATGGTTCGACAAGTGTATCTATCTGCGCATGGATGATCGTCATGGAATCATTGTTTCTTAAGGATGTCAAGGACCTTGAATGTGCAGCTCGTCGCTTGTATGTTGTATGCTTCCACAATCTGCTGTGCAAATCATTGTTCATGTTTCAGTCTCTTTGTGTCAACGGAACTGCATTGTGTACACCTCACGTCACAGTGCCCTGGACTGTTGCCCATGCCTTGCGGCCCTCTTGCACCCCTTCTCCTGTGGTGTCGGCTGGCCTCATCTCACCTCCATTGACATGTTTGCTGCACATGTTGTGCGGTTATCTCATTTTGGAGCTGTGGTGAATGCTGGCACTGGTGGCCGTCCACCCTTGCCCTGCTCAGCAACATTCTCTCTTTCTTTTTTTTTTTTTTCTTTTTTTTTCTTTTTCCAACCGCATCTGTTTGGGTATTGGTGCGGAACGTCAGGCAGTGGCGGGTGAGGGAACAATGTCAACAGCATCGCTTTGCACGACGGAAGAAAAAGAAAGACGGAAAAGATGATGAAGACGACAACAAAGAAAGAAGTGAAGTGAAAGAGTTGAGCGCCGAAAGAAGCATCATGCCACCGTCATCGGTTGTGTCTACTGCTGTTGTGAAAGTGAGTGCACCGTCTTCAAACTCCCTCTGCTCTCTCTTCTACCGGCTGCGGCGGCTCGGTTCAAGGAAGGGGGACAACTGCAGCGACAATTCCTCAAACCGAAAGAAAAGGTCCATCGCCAAGTGGCTGTGCTGCCGTATTTCTGTAATCGCTGACCTGGCAATGCACCCTTGTGGCGGGGATCGCAGGAGGACTCTCAGCCGTGGCCAAACGACTCCCGCAAGTGTTGGTGAGACCCCGGACAGTGTGGCATCGTCAAACCACCAGTGGCCGAGCCAGACTCCTTCACCGCTTTTCTCCTCTTCCCTTGACAAGACACCTGTCGCCAGACATCACTTCTACCATCTGAGAAATGCTAGCCAGGTATCAACTACTACTACTCCCTCACTGCCAACCCTCATACCCACTTTACTGCCATCATTCGCTTTTGCTATTGTGTGCTTGGTGTCTGTGTTGTTCCACTGGCACCAGTCTGCTGGGGCTGAATTCGTCCATATCTTTATCTTGACCAGTCACGTGCAGTCAGTTAAAAGTTTCTGTGCCTGTCCTCTATCTTAAGCTCTGCCTGTTGTGTTCATGATGTGCCTAGCAAAAGATTATTGGGATCTTTGAAGAAACCTATTCATCGGCCCGTCCGCATTATGATCTCTGTTTCGTCTCCGTTGCCTGCTGTGTTCATGATGTGCCTATCAAAAGATTATTTGTGGTCTTTGAAGAAACCTATTCATCGGCCCGTCGCATTATCATCTCTGTTTGTTGTGATGTGCATGTGATGATGTGCTGTAGCACTCTCATGCACAATCGTCTAATCCTTTTTGGGGATTGAAACCTCTCCAGGTTTGGTTGGAGGAAAGGATGCAATTGCCACTTGCCATGTCAAGAAAACTCGCACACAGTATTATAATCCTTTTTGGGGACTCGAACCTTGGAGGGAAAAGGATGCAAATGCCACTTTTCATGTTGGAGAAATCCATGTTTGCCATTGATCGGCACTTTGATTGGGTTTATGACTGTCCAAATGAGCATACGTGCGGAGACTGGTTTGGCATGGGCAGTTGCAATCATGCCCTTGTCCCTCTTAGTTCACAATGTCCTTTTTTCTCAAGCCTGTCAACTATCTGCTGGCCAAGATGAAGTGCTGTTGTGAGGAACTTTTGCCTCATGTTGACAATAGGTGTTGATTGACCTATATGCTTCCAATGAACAACTGTTCATAACAATCCTAACTGTACTGGTGGCTTTCTACATATGGAGTATGTGAACTGGTAGAGCCACTCGAGACTGTGGAGATAGTCTTCGGGTGGACGCAAGGCTATTCTGGGTATTTCCTGCCAATCAGTAACTGCCTGCCATCCTCTTTAAATAAAAGTCTCATATAGTGGGCTAATATGAAAGTACCCCCTGGAATTTTCTGCAATTGGTGTTCAGTCCCTGATGGAACATAGCTAGACATTGGCCATGCGCATACAGACATCTACTGTTTTCAGTTGTCATGCTCATGCAGACATCTTCATGTCTCGACTACATCAGCTTGGATGGCATGACTTCTACCAGGTTATACATGTTTCCATCCAGTTTACGAAGTCTGTCCAGCTGGGCCTTACAGGCTGGGCGGGAGGGGGGTTCCACCCTCCCAATCTGGGAAAGCCAGAAAGCAGGCTACGTCTTTCCCACCCCCCCTGCTTGCACGGTTGTACTGCATCAATTGAGAGCATGCAGAGTCCGGCTTTTTTTTTGGAAAACATCAGAGTCCAGCTTGGGGGGAGAGGTGGCGGCGGATAGATGGGGAACAAGAACAAGGAGAAGACAACTTCCAACCCAGCACAGCAGCAGGGATGGCGTGAAGGGGGGATGGCATTCGGTGAACAACCACCATGCATTGAGCCTCACTGCTCGACACCTTGAGCACACAAAATACACACTGGAGTCGCGAGATGCAACGTCCAGATATGCGCAGCTTAGAAATTCCAACAAACTATCACACTAAACAGTTTCGGAGATCCAGTCACCAAGCGCTCAACAGCACAGAATTCAGCAACCCAATACCAGCATCCTCATCTAAGGTAGGTGACTCTCTTCTCTCCCTGGCTCACTCTCTCTTTCTTTCTCTCTGTCTTCTCTCTCTCTGTCCCTCCTGGCCTTCTTCATGCATGTGCTCTCTCTCTTTCTCTACTTGAGAATCTTGACTCTGAATACATCCGCTGCTACTCAGCTCTATCCCTACGACTGACATATGCGGCTATGCCCGCCTTCCCTCTCAGTGCAGCACTGCCCAGCAGGGTTCTCGCGTGCATGCTACTCGCAGATAGCGCACAAGTGCTTCAGCAGCACTTCCACACTCCTCACGAATGAGCAATCTCCCCGAAATGTGACTGGCCAGTCCTTGATATTGACTTGGACTGAGCCTCAACTCGTCCCAGCCTCTGCTTCCTTTGGCTTGACTTGGACCCGGTACCACATGCCCACGGTCTGCTTGCTTCAGAATGTCAAGGCCTGGTACTTTCCCCGAATTTCCATTGGTGTGCTGCTGCTCGGGTCTGTGAGTCACGACTTTTCATCTGTGGAACATGACTTTTGACTCTGGGTTGTGACTCTTGCCTCTGGACCACGACTTTTGCTTGGAGAAGTGTCCTTTGCCTGTGGGACATGACTTTTCAATATGAGACGTGACTTTTGCTTACAGAATGCAACTTTTGCCTTCGGGAAGCGACTGTTTACCGGGTGCCTGTTGGACTTGACTCCTAAAGGTACCGGACTGTGACCTTTCTGAACTGGCCAACTTGGCCTCCCTTGCCTTGAGGGTGAGAATACACAAACGTGATCACAAGATCAGAGTCCAATTCAGAATGACAAAAGCTTGATTGAGTAGGCCGCGACAGGCGACGACTCAAGAATCCTCCTAACTCCCACCGTAGGTTCTCCCTACACTCATGCCTCTCCCATCTGCACTTTCCCCAATCTCAGGCGATAGCTCGGTGCCATGTCAAAAGAGGACTATACTGCGGACTACAGTACCTATATATACTAAAGAGTCTACTCGTTCGTACTTGTCTTCATCGCAAAGCAAGCTTGCTGTGAGCCTCCAAATTGGTTCTCGATTCCACACAAAGTTCCTGAGTCCTTTTGCGAAAAATCGATCAGGAAAGTTCTTGGCCCGAAATGCCCTTCTGAGGGTAAGCAGCTGTCCCAGGATTTGGGCCCGATCCGTCGTGTTGTGATCGATCCGAAAAAGCCATGTTGTGATCGATCCGAAAAAGCCACCCGGTAACAGCTGCTAGCTTTTGCTTTCGCGAGGACCAAGACCCAAAGTCTTGTCCCGTCCAAAAAAACAGGTCCTGCGTCGACCAAATACTGTCCTGTTTTTTTGTTTTCTGGAAGCTTCCCAAATACGGAAAAGGAGGTCACACTTCCAAGGCACAGCCCAGGAAATCCCAGCTAGCTGATTTGTTACGGACTCAGCCAGGGCTCGATCCCTGGTCCGCAGGTTACCACCCGCCAGGCTGCTATTCCATTTTTTTTTGAAGTTTCTGATCTCAGTTCCTGACTGTTGGCGCCCTCTGCAGTTGGCGCCCGTTCTCAAATCCCGCCTCTAGCACTTTCGGATTTCGATACTTGGCGCCATCCAGCATTCTGACGCCCAGGCTCAGGCCTTCGATTTTCAGTTCAGCCCCGAGGCAAATTGCACTTCTGCCCTCGGACTCGAGCTGAGTTTGGGGACTCAGTTTTCGGCCTCAGTGCTTGTGCTTCAGTGTGACTTGCTGTGACATTGTGTTCGGAATCCAAGATTGCGACTTCGCAACTTTGTGACTTTGCCTCTCTGTGTCTGTGTCCGTCGAGTCGAGTCCGTGTCGAGTTGAGTGAGTATGTGTGTGCTCTCACTCTCTCCCTCTCTCCCTCCCGGCCTCGCTACTCTGCCTCAGCCTTGTCACATGATTTGTCATCGGTCCTTAAGGGTCAGCGCCTTTGGATAGCATCTTTCGAACACCAGTCTGATTCTGTTTGCTCTAGCTATCGCATGCCCGTCCCCTTGCTTATAGGCTAGAAAAATAGAGACATCGTCCATCAGTCTGACCCCATACGCTAGTCTTCGGTCTTTTCCCAAGGAGTCCAGAAACCTCCACTTTGCATGCGCACAGAGATTGCATGCAAGTGGCAGACTGGTACTCATTGCCATCGGGATTCCGATTACCTGCCTCAACAACACATTCGACGCACTGGTGTAGGTATGAGATAGCTCAAAATCAACAACGCTTCGAATCTCCTCCCTAGTCACCGTCCACCACTTTGCCAAATCCATCCACCCGAAGGACGCCCCTCTACCTTTTGAATCTGTCGTCCACACACCCTCTTATTGTTTCCACTTCACAAAAACAGCTCAAAATCCAATCAACGGCTTGCCGAATCTCCTGATGGGGTAGTCGGCTGAATATATCCTTAATGTCGTAGGATGCAGCCATGACTCTCACGTTGAGATATGCTTTTTTCAAAAAAACATTGCCTTTCTTCAACTTGTCACCCAAGCTACCACCAGATTTCAAATTAAAGTTTGTGCATTCTGGCAGCTGATTCAAAAGGTAATTCAAAGCCTTTGCCACCTTCTTACAAATGTGGTTAGTAGGCTCATTGAAGGTAGGAAATATGGGTCGGAAGCGGGACAAGTCTTTCTGCTTCGGTAACACTTATGCATACCCCACACTCCCTTTTCCCTTCCAACCTCCCATCTTGTCCAGTCTCCGCTGTTTAAAATCAGCCCTCGCTTTCTTCCATACCTTCCCTTTGGTCTCGCCCACAACCACATACCCATCACTTCTTACAAACAAATCATTCACTGCCTCCAAATACATCTGCGGGCGCATGAGGACTAATTGCCTTGGATTTCGGTCTACCGGAGAAAAAAACAGCTCTGAAAACAGATGTTTCAACCTCAACACATCTTCCAACGACACGTCGCCTTCCCTCCACGTTGTCCTGCTGCAGCAATTCTCAACATTTGTGCTGCAAAAGCTCATTGAGGTCTTTGGTCCAGGTTTCCAATTTCCAAAACTGTCGGACAGTTTTTGTGCCAAACTCACTGCCCTGTGTCTCTGTCCGGCCCTCAGTATGTTATTAGAGTTCCAAAGATAGTTTGGGATCCCGTCAACTTCACTCGATCAACACTTTACATGATCTTCCACTCTGGGAAGGTTATATCTCGTGCAAGTGCTGCACGTCCTTGCGGGCGGCCTTACGATGGTTGCACAGGCCATCCGTGGTGGATGGGTTCTTAACCCATACCACCCTGACTTTTTTCTTAAAAACTTCACTCACAAAATATGGGAAACCCAAATTATCAATCATCTCATCACATAACCGACGGACCCCCG